CTTGCAAATCGGTTGCCTATCAAAACGGGCAGTTGTCACCGCGGCCTCAAGAAAGCTGTCCGGCAGCCAGTGAGGCTTCAAACGGTGCGTGCAACTGGAGGTTCGTGAACTGGTGCTTCATCACACCGTCCCAAACGGTTTGATTTGACTTGTGGAGTTCAAATGACATCGAGCAAAAAAAAGACTTCCTGCGTCCAGCAATGAGGACAGGATTAAACGCAAGGTTGGTGGTCTGATCGCTGACCACACTGACCAAGCAAATGCGACTTCTAAATCGGAAAGGTTTTGATGGCAGTGCAGAACTTTGAGACCAATGAGCAAAAAAACTTGAATTCAAGTGACAAGGGGTCAAAATGATCGGTCCAGTCTCCATTATCTTATCCTGCTATATTTCTCGATCAGTAAAGTGCTCGAATGCACTATTTTTCTCCTCCAATGCAAAATGACCGACCGGAAATGTCGCCGCAAAGTTCGCCTTACCGAACGGAAAGCAGCTACATTCACTTCCCTTTGGCTGCCATAGGTAATTATATAATAGAAAGCCATAGAGTACATTTGCTATCTCATGAAATGTAAGCCCAAATTCTGCAATTTGTTCTCGATTCAAGCAGACAACTTATGTAGGTCACGCAGATTAATTATCATGCGGCAGTCCCCATCGTTGTGACGTATTTTGTAGACAACTGCAGAGGTTTTAAGTACGGGGCAGTCTGTCTTTAGGTTGCATCACTCAGCGGCGTATTGTCGCCTGGTGTTAGGGCCCGGCTTAAGTGCGAATGCACGCCGCCCTAACGAGGCGTTCCCACGCGAGACCGCCGGTCTACCCACAGCAAGTGCACTGTGTGACGCCGCGCCCAGCCCCAGCCAAACGCAAGACTAACACGCCAACTGCATGACTCACATAGCCAATGAATTCGTGCCTTACTTGTGACCACCATCCAATTGGTCCAACCTTCTAAATACGCGTTCGCTTGCTTTAAATTATGCTGTACTAGGTTATCTCAAAGACATCTGCTTTCTACGCACTTCTTGTTGCGTTATTCCTTGGGGGCTCACACAAGGCGTAGTAAGACGGCGATAACGCAGCCTTGGCCACATGTACAACAACTGAGGTCGACGGGCTACGCCTACTCCAGTGGGTTGTAACGGTCGAGAGACTGCTTCCGAGACTCCTTTTAGGTAAAGAATGGGTAGGATTGTGTCGTGGGGTCGTCTGGGGAAAGTGTGAAGCGCGCCCCG